GGTAGGTAGGCCAGTTGTTGTTACCAATCTGTCCTAATCAAATCACCGCAACACGCACGACCGTGATGTCCGCGGGCCCCTCGCCTTGGAAACAGGACGACCACACGTGTGATAAAGGATAAACAACTGACACAAATGGATTCCAGCCTGCCCCTACTGTATATGTCTCACTGGTATTTCCCCCTCTGTACCCCAGATAGAGAAGTCACCTGATGTTTGCCATCCGGTTTCAATCTGCAAGTAAAACACTCGATCACTCAACATGTTGCAACAGAATTCCTACATAATTCCCACCATCTGTGTGTTGTTTTGCTCATATTGACGGTCTGTCTGGGGGGGGGCAGAGGTGGGTACAGCAGACGAGTCTCACCCTGGGCGTGACCCCGAGGCCGGGGAAAGTCGCGGTTACCTGAAAGCCGGAGCCGCGGTCCAAAATGCCCTTCTGAGAGGCGCCCCAAAGGCCGAAGGGAAGGAACGCTGTGGCACCGGGGGGAGGGGGGGTGGCGCGGCGGCGGCCTCGCACGGACGGAGCCTCACTGAGGCGTGTCCATCCGCCAGCGTGCCCCTATCGTTCACGCTACCTAACACATGTATGCGATCTGTGCTTCTCTTCAAGGGTCTCTCATGAATCATTTATAAGTTGAACCATGCAGATAGAGGAATGCTAGGTAATTAAACTGAACCAAAAAACTGGACCAGACAACCTCACAATATTTATGCCAAAAGCATAAAACTTTAAATGCTGATTTGCCGCATTTATTAACTCTAATATCCACTTATCACAGCTGACACACGCATCAATGTTTTTCTTATTAGGAAAACGGAGGGTGGGAACTGAACTCACAAAATACCGGTTAATGCATTTTCAGTGATATTGCTTGGGGTGCCTTTTAAAGAAGCCCCACCCACATTTTTAATGCCTGGAAGCTTCTGTCTTTTCCCGTTTTTTGACAAAGCAGTGCATTTAATTTTTTAGTGGGCATTAAGAAGGAGCTTAATAGGTTTTATAAAACTAGCAGGGTTTAAATGAGGAGGGGGGGTCCTGGATGGAGTGGATCCCCGCCAGGCCCCCCAGGTCCTGGGCTCCACCCCCCATCCCAAAGGCGTGAGGCCCCTCAGAAGTGGGAAGGGGCATCCGGCCTGGAGCTGTCTAACTGGGCGGGGGTGAGATATTTTCCCATACAGCGGGTTCACGGCGTCCCTTGGCACAGCGGAAGTATTACCTAGTGGGGTGAGACGAGGTGACGGTGCCCCAGAGCAACATCTGCCCTGCTGTGGAGGGGGGGGGGGGGGGGCAGCTGGATCCCATGACTGCCAGCCTTCATGTGCACCCTGTGTCACACTGTGCTTATGTTATGTGCCTTCATACACATACTGTATGTTACCATATATGCGTGCGTATATATTATGTGCGGTTAAGTGTCCGGCTGTATAATGCCACTACAAGGTGTTGACATTTTGAACCTGTAATAGATAATGATTTAATTAAGGCTTGTCTCTTTTTAAATGAACACACGTGAATATTTGACAAAGGGGAAAGAATGCGTGAGGGTTACGATGCTGTTCTCCATGCCTGTCGTCGTACATTCTTACGCTGGTATAAGTAAGAATTGCACTATTCGAGTCATAGTGTCCTCTCGGGCGTGTAAGAAATTCACTTCGAGGGTGCCGCTCATCGCCTTTGCACGTCCCCTGTTGACCTGACAGTAGATTCTCCACTCGCTGGGGGTGGCTGTTTTGGAGGAAAATGCTCTCCTCTAACATATGGTTCTTCTCCGCTTTTTCGTTTGGGTTGGGGTATTTTTTCCCACCCCTTTTCCCTTTTTTTTCCTGAGTTTGCATCAAGGCCCACCAGCCACCAGCCCCGACACGTCCCCGAGAAATCCACTCATCGCACTTTTGATTTATTCTGATTGTCAAAACACGCAAAGATGTTATTCCTATCCGCACCATGCTCCAAAAACGTAACCTTAAAATTGAAAAGCCGACCCATTACCATCAGCCCCCCACCCCTTGTCCCCATTCCTCCTGTCTCTTTCTGCCTCACTGAAGCAGAGGAGACCTATCGTGGATTCTGGTCGTTCTTGTACCTCTGCCAGAAATGCTTCTAATTTGAAATCTCTGTTGCCCGTGTCAGGCAGGTCTCTGCACTCCGCACCGGTGAGCAGATTGCGGTCGACTTTCAGGACCTCGGCTCGGCTTTCGCCACAGGGAGCGGAAACCTCAGGGCGATGCCGCCTTGGCAGAATGATACATGTGGCACCCACCTAGCTAAAATAGAGGGTACACACCATGGCCTGGCACATGCCTTCCCAAGGTGCGAAATGACGGCGCTCTCGTGCCAGCGCAAAGGCATCCCCTTGCCGCTCCGGAGCGGACGACACGCGGCAGCCGGGTGTCAGCTGGCATAAACAAGTGGCGGAGTTCCAAAGTGAAAAAAGTCACAGGGGTGGACCAATTAAAACACAGGGGCCCTTACGAGGAGCTGTAGATCTGCCCCATAAATTCTCCAGATCCCCGCGGGACGCGGGCCAAGGCCACACATACGGTGAAATCATAATGTGGATGTTTACAGAACTCCTGCCCGCGGCTCTCAGACGGGACAGCGATGCCTGAGGAGATCAAAGACACGATGTGCCACTAAGAAAATATGACCGTTTCTATAACAAGGCCGCCCCGATAAATTATCCCACTGAACAATTGCAGACGTGCAAACATAACCTTAAGCAATAAATAAAATATTGCGGCTTAAAACAGCGGATTCATTGTTTCATTGCGTCAAAGTGAGAAGGGCTTTGATTCAGAATACGTGTTAATAAACACCCTTGGGTAGCCTCGATAATGCTAATGTGCATTTTCAATAATCAGTTTTCTTGTCTGTGGCCTTTCTGTCGTAAGCGTTTGCCGTCAAGACGGACAGTTTATTAATGCTCCTGGCCACTGCCCCAGGAGAATGCTACCCATAGTCATGGACAGAAACCTAGCAACGCTTAAGTGTTGTAGTGTCTATGTTTTCCCGGTTACAATAGAAACCGACATAAAGTTAATCTGAATAAGAAGCTTAAGTACGAAGATTTTGGCGGGAGAGGAATGGAGAATGACTGCTACAGTACGTCAAAGGCACAGAGGGAGATTATTAAAGGCTTAAGGTATGGAGGTAGCGTAGTGGTTCAGGAGAAAGGCTTTTAGCGGCTCAAAAAATACTGGCAGCGTAGTAGTAGCGTAAAAAGCCATACTCGCGCCATTATATTTGCTTGGGTAAACTGCTAATGCTCTACTATTGTTCACCTCATCGCTAGAGCGCTAATGTCGCTACAGTCTCTAAACTCAATAAAAATGAAAGCTAACCGAGGTTAGCGGCCCCGCTGTGTCCATCGTGCTGTTATTGACCTTGTGTGCTAAATGATGAGACTGAATACAGCCAGCGCTCATGGGTGAGGCCCGTGTCCAAGCCTTTAGTCTCAGTGTGAGCCATCCTGTCTCTGCCCCGTCACCCGAAATGTGTCTCATGTATCAGTCGACCCACTGGGAGAAACCAGGGTCTATGAGGACATCTTGAGCTAAAGTAAATAATCAAACTATATCTATCTATCTATCTATCTATCTATCTATCTATCTATCTAGTGTCTGTGTGTGTGTGTGTGTCTGTGTGTGTGTGTGTCTGTGTGTGTGTGTGTGTGTGTGTGTGTGTGTGTGTGTGTGTGTATACACCTTGCCATTAAGACAAGCTGGAACGCATGTGGGAGGCTTCTTTTTTATACTGAGACCTCTTTCTAGGAAACAGTCAAATCCTTCTTTTGCTACAGTTGTTTTTCTTGCCGTCTTATGCAAGTCCATCCCACTCCTTCCCAACAGCACTTGAAGCAGACGAGTTTCACGTGTTTATATGTCGTAAGCTGACGCTTAGGTTCTGTTCTCTGTCTCCCAGAAATAGTTCTGTTTCCAAAAACCATAATACTTTAAACTGCTCTGACAGCTCTCTCCATCTCTTTTCAGTTTTTTCTCACCCCCCCCGCCCCATGACCATCGAGGGCCAGGCACCATTCTGTACCTGCCCGAGTCAACCTAGTGCCATCACCAGCGTAGACTTTTGTGACCGACGGTGTCCAGTGTCAGACCGTTTTGCCAAACGCAAACAAAGAGAGAATGTTTCCTAATTCATTGACATTTCTTAATTATATGGTGTAACTTAACAAACTCCAGAGATGATTTTTGTAAATTGCAGAATTGAAAAGGCATTAAGTGTACATTTTGATTTTTTTATGTATAGTATTCCACTTTCTTATTTAAAATTCTTGTGTAAGAATCCATCATATCACAAAGGTATATTTAAAGTACGTTACATTACAGATGCAACTATTGAACTGGATAACCTGTTACTGGGAATATTTCTTCAAATTGATTTAGAGCAAATATGCTTCATAATTAACATATCTCTCTGTGCTTTATTTGGATCTGAAATGAAACTGAAAACCTCTCATGGGTATTAAAAAACAATTTTAGCTTGGTTGACCTCCATAGCTCGACTAGATCCCAACAGAAGTGATAAACAGAAGCATAACTGGGTCAGTATTGTCAGTTATCCACTTACATGTTGTTATCTTTTTAAATCCAATATAAGATTAAGCTTCAGTCAAATGCAGTCTCATATTTCCTGGAGCATTTTGACTTTGGTGACTCACATAAAGCTTTTGCTTCCTTTAGGGATTTGAATAAGCTGCTTATTTGAACCCGGTCCTGCAAATATTATGTTGACTTTCGGGAAGAAAAAAAAAAAATCCACATGGGAATATAAAAGTGTGTCCGAGCCGGTGGCCTACATGTTACTGTGTTGGTTCATTACGAGTCCCGTTTGGGATTTGAACCTTTACACTCGAATCAACACCGCAATCCCCACCGGCTGGTCTCATGTCAAAAACTCTGTATGTCTGAACAGTGTACCTGTATAAGAAGGGTAATGATGTGCTTGTGTCTGTATGTTCCTCTCTCTGTTTGTCCAGGGGAAGTGTTAAGCCTTGTGGACGACCTTCTTTCTGGCCTGGGGTCTTCGTGTGTGGTGGTGGGGAAACGCAGCAGCGAGCACCCCCATACGGCCCTCTATACCTTGGTCTTCAAGTGCCTAGAACCGGACAGCCTCTATAAGTAAGAATTCATACATCCGTCCACTAGGGGCACCGTTACTCAACTGTTGTGTCCATTTTCATTCGATTTGCCAAGTGTGTGGTCAATTAACCAATGTCTACTTGTTTTGTTTGTTTTTTTTTAACAGTGCATGAAGGCATTGTGCTACTGTTAGTGCATTAGCTTCTAATTACTATTACTGTACTATTTTATATTTTCTGAAATAAATTTGGGTCGAAATTTGAAAAATTTGCGCTATGACTTAATGACCCAGGAAACATGTGGGTCCAAAGATTAAACCCGTTGAAAACCACTGCTCTAGTGCAACAAGGTCTGTGGAAGGTTGGTAAGGGGACATTGTTTAAGTACTTGCTAAAATACAAATGATAATAATTTAATTCTTTCATTTCAAATGTTGAACCGCATTTATGGGTTTCAGTAACCAGTAACCCCTCAGTATTTTTGTGGAGTGTTCACCTTGGTCCTGCTTCGAAAGTTGGAAAAATAGCACGCTAATGAAAGCAAAATAGCCTGACAGATTAGATTTGGCAGATCAGAATGAAGAGAAAATAGCGTTGTGAAGGGAGAGGCCCACCACTGAAAGATGGGGTTCATTACTGCCCCAGATGCTGAAATTGCCTTGTGTGGATGGTGATTATCTTGATTTTAGTATACTCAGCAAACCTGTTTTTAGGTTCACTATAAGGATCAGCATTGTTTTAATAGAACAAAGCAAAGGAAAACTTGTCAAGAAACTATTATGCACTCTTTCGCTGATTTTAGGGACAGTGAAACCTCGTTTTTGCAAAGGAGGATTGTCATTGAGAGTTTTTTTTCTTATCTCTCTCCTTCTCTACTTTTTTTTCTGACTGGCAAGTTAGTACCTCCATAAATCTTCTTTTATGCTCCAGGTAAGAAGCCATCTATGTGGTCTGAATGCATTAAGGACTCTTGGGCTTTTTCCAAGCCCAGTTTATCACGCACAAAATCCTTCATAAAAGTCAAATATTTTTGCATAAACGCATGAGAGTCGGCTCCGTTAAATCCTGCCACAGCCGACAGGACACTATTAGGATGTAGACTCGGTGAACTGACACTGATAGAATATAACTTAGAAAGGGGTTTGCCGACCCCCCCCCCCCCCCACACACACACACACACACACACACACACACACAGAGGCAGCAGTGCTACCCCCCAGATAATCAGGAGAACATCTGGATCATATATCATAAGGTCAACAAGGGTCTAGAGTTGGTATTCAGGGACATAACCATTCTTCCACACAAGTGCTTCAGTTTTGTGCCAGTTCTGATGGAAGTTAAAGCTATAGACATCTCTCCAGGTACTCCTCGGTCCTAGAGGTGCCGTGTGTTTTCCATGATTAAGCTGCAGGGCCATGGAGGAATGTCTGTGCTCCTTGAAGAACCCCCCTCGGTAGAGAGCATGGTAACACACATGTCTTGGATAACGCGTTACGCAATGATATAAAGGAGGCTAACAGGCCTGGATTCCGAAGAAAACGATGCAAATCTAAAACATGCTAGTTGAGTTACCATGAATTCAGCATCCCTACGGGAAGTCGGCCTTCCGAGGTAGTCAAGGGCCCTGGGTTTGTCGCTATGGCGCTAGCGGTGATGGCAACCACATTGTTCTCCACAGGAGGTGTCGCATGTGCACCTCAACTTCCCGAACAGGCCACGCATATTGCAAGCCACAGTAAGTGATTTACACATGCAGAATCTGTCCCCTGAAGTCCCCTGCCGACCACTTTCAGACCTTCTTGGTGGAACTGATGCATTGCACATCTTCTCCACGTGTTTCTGGTCACAGCTGCCCTTCGAAGGGAATGTCATAATCTCATTTTCCTCGAGTGACACAACCTTCCTTGGCCGACGCATCGAGTTTGTTTTAACACGTCGGGGATCCCTGTGGACTTGTGCACAACGAGAAAACCGCAAGCAAGAGATTTACATGTCTCTCTTTTTTGTTCATGTGTGGAAATGACTTACTGTGCCTTTGCACATCTTCTCCTAATAATACCCCTGTGCTTTGTACATCTCCTGCACATCACACCTCTACCACTCCTCTTCCAACAATGTTTTTACTTAACCAGCTATCGTGGACTCTCACATCCAGTTATTTTTAATAATGCAGCCTTGATCCCCAGACCAGGTTGCGTCTTATAGTGCCCTCGTTCTTTGTATTACTATACAGTAATTGTTGCCGTCTTTGCCGCTATTCCCAAACTCTTGCCATGCCGGTCTTGACCACAAAGGCACCAAAATGCATCTGCGTGTCTGAATGATCACAGGAGGCTTCAAAATGTGGTTTGTTCCGTTGGCTGCACACACATTACAGACGTCCCCAAACCCGGACAATCACCTCCTAACCTTGTTATGTTGTTGTTCTTCTCTCCATAAGATTGTGAAGAGCACTTCATCCAGTGCATTTTTTCAATAAATCAAATAGGACTCGATTGTACAGAATCAGTCAAGCTTCTCTCCCTTTCCAAGCAGACATAAAAAGCCGTAAACTTCTCTTACATCTGTCGCTCTTTTTAAAGCAAACGTAGAACAGACTTTATCAATTTTCAGTTCCCCAAAGTAGCCTTGTGGGTTTTTTTTTAGCATTGCATGTTTTCCATGCGGGTGCATTAATTTAGCCACTGGAACACCAGCTAAATATGCGCCTGCATGCTTAGCATTGAATGAGCCAGATCATTTTGAATTTTGTTGCTTATCAAACGATTTCATTTACAGCTGTGTACATAGTGTGTAGTTGATATTTACCCTATTTAGGAAGCTGGATAGTTTACAGTATAAACCTGTCAACCACCATGCTCAGCAGGGCTTATTTTGGGATATGAACCCATGTCCACATCCAGCAAGGTGTCTTCTCCCTCATTCCCTCGTCGTCTGCCAAAAAACACGTCCTTCTCTTCCCATCCCCAGCACTGTCCATGTCTTCACAATTTTCTTCTGTAGTATGGAGTACTGGCTTGAGAAAACGAGACTGATTGAACTGGGAGAAGGGTGGCTCAACAAGTTAGGATGCTGTGTCTGTGATCTGAAAGTCCCAGAGTTGGCAGGGCGATCTTCCCATCCGGCCCTTAATCCTCAGTTGCTTCAGGGACTGTCTGACCCTGCCTTCTCAAATATATATGGTGGTCAAATACCAGCATCTGCTAAATAAATGAAATGTAAATGAAGCCTAGTGCCAGACAGGGTTAGGGTTAGGATTAGGGTTAGGGTTAGGGTCAGGGTTAGGGTTAGGGTGCACGGCAGGGATGGAAGAAGGGCCAGGTGCAGGATGCACATTTTGACATGTCAGGACTGCCACCCTAAATGTGGGAAAGACGTCCCAAAGTACAAACGGCTTCTTTGGTGTCAAACGAAGCCGCTGCACAAGACAAATGGTGTCTCAAGAGCGCGTGCTTGCAGTTATAATGTCTGGCACAGCGGCACAGCAGTGGCGGTAATGGCCTGGGCAGATTCCCTGGCCGGCGGGTTCACTGTAGAGGACGAGATGAGCAGGGCCTCTCCAAATGGAGTGGGGTTCTACTTTGGCGTGTCTCCGAAACTTGGCAAGGTCACTGGTTCTTGCCTTTTATCACTTTGATTATAAAAATAATTTAGGATAAAGATATCAACGGAGACCCCCCCCCACCCCCGTATCTGTTTTTTGTTGCATTTTGAAACTGAAATGAGAGGAAAGGTTTCTGTTCAAATAACTGCCTACTCTAATTTTCGACAATATATTATTTCTACAGTGTAATGATATTGCTTTGATAAATAACTGAGAACAGAGGTGCTACGTCTGCTAGTCTTTCTCGAAAGACTGCAGTTATGTGACATCATGGCGGGTCAACGAGCAGTGTCACTGATCATAAGGCTGCCAGCAGGTGGATGCAGGTGAGCTTCGGGGACAGAACAAGTACAGCAGGCAGGACAGGATAGGCAGACTGCTAGCTGTAGTGAGAGGACCCCCGCTTTTTGGTAAGCCCCCCCACGTAAACACTGGCTTCGCCATTCATCTCGGCCGCCGGCGCGGTCAGTGAAAGTGGCGTTTTGCTGCTGAGTGGGCGGACATATTATTTCAAAAGCTGTCTTGATATCAAACGTTGTTTTTTTACCATTGAACCGCAGTGAGAGGTTCCAGATGTGACATTCTCCTCCCGGGGGTGTGGGGGTTGGGGCGGGGGGTCTTGGGCGTGTGACCGCGTTTGTCCAGAACAATAACATCTCTTCTCAATTAGTAGCAGCTTCCTTACGTCTGGGAAGCACGGCGGATGTTTTTGGGGGAACTGGGACCATCGGTCACAGTGAAGGACCCGGTTCCGCTCCGCTCGGGGCCCTCCGGTGTTGGAGCAGACGAAAAGTGGCAAAAAAACACCTGGGGCATGTGCTGTCCTCAAACGTAACGGTAAACCAGCCCACGGTTCGAGGGCAGATTCCAAGACACTCCTTCCATCTGACATTATATGCCGAGTCCAGCCCTCCTCTTTGTGCAGTTTTGGAGAAGAGCAGAGACTCCAGGATCCTGTAAATTAAAAATACGATTACTTTCTTCGCTCTCTTCCAGTTTTTGTTTGATGAACATTTATTTGATGTTGGAGAGCTGTTTATTAAATTCAAAGGTTGATGACAGTACTGAAGCGTTAAGGAGTAGTGTTTTACGTGAGGGGCCAGCCGCGATGCCCCCTAGAGGTGGTCCTAGGGTAACGCTGGAGTCTTTCCGAGCAGGATAGAAACGTCTGCCGTTAATCATCATGCGTGTCACCACATCAACCACCCTCCCCCCAGGAAAACTATTTAACCCCTCATCTTTCCACCACTTGCAGACATGGCATCTTTGAAGAAAGAGCTTTTTATTTTACATGTTTGTCATCTAAGATTTTGGAGGGGGGTGTTTTTTTGGCCAGCCAAGGGGGTAATTGTGCCAAAAAGTTTGAATTACTCGTCTGTAGAGGAAACCGAATGAACCTCACTTTCCTTTTTGCACACATATGTACACGTTTA